ATCATCATAGATTAGCTCTGAAACTCACACATGGGATCATTAATTCATGTATTTGGGAGAGAAAAAGACATTTAGTAGTTCTAAGGAAAGATTTTTTCTTAGCCCAGAGACCTTCCTAAATGTCATATTTCTTTGGCATCCTTGTAGAGATGATATATCTTGGGGACTTTGAGAAGTACTCCTCCAAAGTTCACACTTGATGGGAAATGGCATTTTAATGTATGACTCTTATGGGTTTCTACGAGAAACACTCTTGCTCAGTAGTTCAAAAAGTAAAGATGTTTTTACCAGAACTTGTCATGCAATCATAGAACTGGTTCTTGCAAGAAGAATTGGGATTCAGATATAACATTTCTGGGTAGCCTTGAGGAACCCATAGAAGCCAGGTCACTGGAATAACAATAATAAATTAGCCTTATTTGATTTCTTGCCCCAAGTTTTGAAAGATACACAATTTGTAGCCATGTGTAAATGACTAATTCTCAAATTCCCTGACAATCTGGGATAGCTTTTTAATGTCTCTCAGAAGTCATCACCCCAAAGATAAAAATTAACATTTCTGTGGCAATTAATGTTTGTTTTGGAAGATAAGCTACACCCAAAGCTTGGAAAAACCCAGGTGGCTTTTGTGACCAACGACATACTGGTCTCAAATTTTTCAGTACTATTGATTTTTAGAAGAAATTAGCAAATATAAAAAACTAAGGTTAAACCTGACCACATAACTCATACTTATTCACACTTTGCATAACCTCTAATCGTCAGGAAAAGAAAAAGAAATTCATTAATTCATAGTATGTTTACTCCCAGTAGATTATTCTCGATCAAAGTATCATTCCCTAAAAGACATTCAAAATTATAACATCCAATATTTTAATAAGTAAAATTATTTGAAATATCTGAAAATATCAAGTTAATATGCCATAACACTTCATTAGGATGATGTCTTTATAATAAGGTCACTTAAAGATATGGTATATATACACAGTGGAATACTAGACAGCTGTAAGGAAGGATGAAATCATGCAATATTCTGACACATGGATGTAACAGGAAGGAACCGTGTTAAATGATGTGAGATAAAAAGGTCAAATATGGAATAATAACACTTATATATGGTATTTAGAGAATGTAATGATTTAAAGGGGAAATTACTAGACTATACTTGGCCCCAAAGTATAGGGGGAGAAGGAAAGAAATAAAGTGTCTGACAGTGGGGGGAAGAAAAGATGAGCAGCGGTCAAGGAAATTTGGGTACATCAATGGTAGTAAGGAATGACAGAGCCAAATATTCAAACCACAGAGTCAACAACACTGAAAGCATGAGACCCAAACACTTGTCCTTGTCAAGGTGATAGGCTGGGTGTGGGGGATGGGAAGTGGGGGGGTGCTACAGATTAAGTGCAGGTTAGGAGAGGGATACTGTGAACAAGGGTGAAGGTACATTGACACTGACAATGGGATTTGTGCTGGAACACTGTATGTCTGAATCTCAAGTATGAATATCTTTGTAAATGGCAGTGCTGTAATAAAATGAAATTTTAATTTTTTAAAGAAGTGTATAATTAATTGAAAAAGTAAGATACAGAAATTAATGCCCATGGAATGAAGACAACCATTTGAAGACAGAATTTTAGTGGCATTCATATTAAGTTCACTGTAATTAAGTTTGGGTCCATGATTCCTCAACAGAGCCACATATACAGCATATGGTAATAGATTCTGAAAATTATAAACTGGACAACTAGGTTTTATAGACTAGTATTCTTTTCTCACCTTTTGACTAGGTTTATGTGGTCCAAAGTTGTGCCCATAACTTTGATAAAACAGTTATATCTCTGCTTTTTATAGATCACAAATATCAGGAATATTCAATACGTGAATCAAACAAATTATGCTTCAATGCCAGAAGAGTAAGACGTGGTTTGCCCGTTAAGTGTTCTCTGTGTAGTTTAATCGGGTTGACTGTCAGAGACATGCTGAAAGAACCTGTTAGACAAGAATGGCTACATTGTTGTTTTGCCATAGTTTTCCTCCTGTTCAGCAAGTATACATATATTACTGTAGTATATACATGCAGTGTAAGTAGCTGGTAAAGGAAAGGTTTCTTAGCTAGAGCAAAATGCTTTATCTTTAGTGTAGCATATTCTGTATTTTAAGAATATTAGAAATGAGGGCTGGAGTGATAGCACAGCAGGTAGGGCGTTTGTCTTCCACGCAGCTGACCCGGGTTTGAATCCCATTATCCCATATGGTTCCCTGAGCACTGCCAGGAGTAATTTCTGAATGCAGAGCCAGGAGTTAACCCCTGTACATCACCGGGTGTGACCCAAAAAGCGAAAAAAAAAAAGAATATTATAAAGGTCCTTAGAAAATTATTGTTAACTTCTCTAAAATAAGTTTAAAAGTATAACAGAACAAATGGGGGACAGGAGATAGTACAGTGTTTAGGATGCATGTTGACCTCCATGTGAACCCTTACATCTCATGGTCCTCCCAGCCTTGCCATGTGCAGTCCTAGAAGTCTCTTACCAACCATAGATGGGTGTGGCCCTGGAGGCTTCCAGAACCATCTGGGTGGGCTAATTATCTCCAGCACTGAATGGCCCGATGCTGAATCAAAGACCAGTTGGCTGAGAATTTTGTGTGGAAAATGACCTTCTGAGCACTGGTTGGGTAACACTCCATCCTTCTTCCCCCGCTCCCCCAAAACATAAAAATTTGAGAAATTTCCTTCTCTTTCCATCTCTAGCAGAGCTTGGGGAGAAAAAAAAACATTCAACACTTACAAATGTATGAACCTCATTTTTAAATCTAATTTTGTGCCACTGTGCTGTGGTATCAAAATATAAAAGACAAACCACATTAACAGCAAATTTTAGGATTAAGAACATTTACATAATGTAATAATCAAGTAGATTTATTATAAATTTACTAAATTTTGTTTGGTTTAAAGCCAAGAACTCTTTCCTCTCTTACTCAATGTAGATAGCATAACTTCAGTGACTGTAGTAAAACTGATAGCATCCGCTTTAAGATTACAAGCTAGCACTATATCTGCAAAATTGATAAGGGTATTATTTTCTCTAAAACAAAGCCAAAAGTAAAAGATAAAAAAGGAAATGGCACACTTTATCCTTTATGCTTTTAGATGACAATTAAAGCGCATTTGAGCAAACTCATTTTTTATTTTAAAAAACTTATCAGGAATTCTATGAGAGTGAGATAACAGTCTCATTTTAAAGTATAAAAAAATCTATATTTAAACCACACACCATTTTCCAAAGCAAGAGTTATAAACTAGCAGCTTACTTAAAAGCAGACACAAGATATTGATTGCTAAATATTTCACCAATCTTTTCTTTGATGTCTTAATCTGATATCAAGAAGAGGAGAATATAATTCCTTTTTCTTAATTTTCTGGCATTCTCTTTTTCCATCAAATTGTTTGTCCCCAGAATAGATGACAAGGGACCTAGTATAATAATGTCAATGCAATAGCAGTTAGTGAAAGGGTGTAAAATATAATATTTGTATAATGTGTCATATTATAGCATTTAAATTTGCCAAAAGACATCACTTAGTATATTGTCCGACAAAGTAAAAACCATTATAAACTACATTTTTAACTAAATGTAAAAAAATGTGCTTCATAAAAATTTAAAGCCGAATGTCCACTGGTTCAGCCCTTCTGGAAAACAGTATGGACGATTCTCAAAAAATTAGAAATTGAGCTCCCATTTGACCCAGCAATACCACTCCTGGGAATATATCCCAGAGAGGCAAAAATGTATAGTCGAAGTGACATCTGCACTTGTTTGTTCATTGCAGCCCTCTTTACAATAGCCAGAAACTGGAAGAAACCTGAATGCCCAAGAACAGATGACTGGTTAAAGAAACTTTGGTACATCTACACAATGGAGTACTATGTAGCTCTTAGAAAAGATGAAGTCATGAAATTTACATACAAGTGGTACAATATGGAAAGTATCATGCTAAGCGAAATGAGTCAGAAAGAGAGGGATAGACATAGAAAGATTGCATTCATCTGGGGGATATAAAGTAACAAAGTATGAGATTAATACCCAAGAATAGCTGAGATCAGCACCAGGAGCATTACTCCATAACTTAGAGGCCAGCCGGGTATCCTAGAGGAAAGGGCTATTCAGATAGAGAAGGGAGCACCAAATAAAGGATGTTTGGAGGATCCTCCCAGGAGGGGAGATGCATGTCGAAAGTAGACTATGGACTGAACATGTTTGCCACTCAATGCCTCTTTTGCAGACCACAACACCCAAAAGGAGAGAGAGAACACAGGGGATTGCCCTGCCACAGAGACGGGGGGATGGGGGGATGGGGGTGGGAGGGATACTATCCATGGTGGTGGAAAATGGGCACTGGTGGAGGGATGGGTATCTGATCATTGTATAATTGAAACCAAAGCACAAAAAATTGTAAATCTACAACTTTAAAAAAAATAAAATAAAATAAAGGGGAAAAAAAAAATTTAAAGCCGATATACAAAACAAGGGTGCAATAAATTTGATACATTTCAAATAAAACTTTATTAAAGCTAACAAACACCAAAGTATTCTTCGTTAAATATTGCGAAAATTTCATATATCTAATATTTAATATGCAACGACGGCTCGACCCCCAGAGAGGAACACCACTGAACGAGGAGAGCCTGAGAAGGGCAGGACCGCGAGGCTAGGTGATGGGGAAACGGCACCACCGGCTCGGCCTCAAGTACCTGACAGGACGACCTGGAGCGCCTCCGCCCCTCTCAGAGAGCCCAGCCAGCTCCTAATAGTATCTCGCCTGCACGGCAGAGCCTGGCAAGCTCCCTGTGAGATATTCGATATGCCAGACACAGTAACAACAAAGTCTCCAATGGAGACATTACTGGGCCCGCTCGAGCAAATCAATGAACAACGGGAGGGCCTTTACGTTTTACTTTACTTAATATTTAATATTTCTATTTAATGTTCTTACTTGTTATTATTTCCCCCTACCACAGAAATTTGTGTGTCATCCTTGCGCAGGGGCATGCTAATCTTCTCTGTTGTTCCAATTTTAGTGTATGTGCTGCCTAAGTGCAATAGCACAGCGATAGGGCATTTGCCTTGCGCGCAGCCAACCCAGCTAAGCCAGGTTCGATTCCTCCGCCCCTCTCGGAGAGCCTGGCAAGCTACTGAGAGTATCTCGCCCACATGGCAAAGCCTGGCAAGCTCCCCGTGATATACTTGATATGCCAAACACAGTTACAACAAATCTCAAAATGGAGACGTTACTGGGCCCACTTGAGCAAATTGATGAACAACGGGAAGACAGTGACAGTGGACAGTGACCACAGAAATATTTTCTTTAATTCTGTGAATTACTAGTGACCAACTATGTCTCACTCATGTACTAAGCACTCAGATGGAAATATACTGTCACTGTCCTCCCGTTGTTCATCGATTTGCTCAAGCGGGCCCAGTAACGTCTCCATGGTGAGACTTTGTTGTTACTGTGTTTGGCATATCGAATACATCATGGGTAACTTGCCAGGCTCTGCCGTGTGGGCGAGATACTCTCGGTAGCTTGCCGGGCTCTCAGAGAGGGGCGGAGGAATCGAACTCGGGTAAGCCATGTTGGCTGCGTGCAAGGCAAACACCCTACCACTGTGCGATCTCTCCAGCCCAGAAATGTACATCTGAACTAAAGTTTCTTCCTTCAATTTAGTCATGAAAAGGTAAATAGGTATTTATAATTCATTTTTTACACATTTTCTTTCATTATCATTACCCAAACAAATGCCAGGAACAGAACTTTTCTCTCATTTCATTCTCACTGTATTGATTCAGTTTGCTTAAATTTTTGTTGAAACACTTAGCTGTTGTCCATGTTTACCTAAGAATATGAAATAAGAAATGCCTATTTTGCACTATTGAAAATTGCATAATATAGAACCCGCTCTGGGAAACCCAGAGTGATGTGGGTTAGTTCCTCTCCCCACCCCAACAGAACCCTGGCAGCTAAAAATCTCCAGAACTCAATCGCCGCCATGCTCATGGCTGATCTCCACAGGCTCAGAAGAGCCTCATCCATGAGTGAACCTGCTTAAAAACCCAGGTATACAAGACTTATGACTGAAATCTCCAAGCTTGCACAGACTCGGGAATAGGTAACCTTCCTGATATCCCTGTGCTTTTGGTAGCCTGGCAGTTACACCAGGAGCTGATTTCTATGCCATATAACTTATTAATGGCCATGACTAAGAGGCTCACAGATAAATCTCTTGGAAGGGAGCAATACAGAATATGCTGTAGAGATGCCTCTGGACCCCAAAGTAATCAGCCAGTTAAAAAAATATTAAATTACACCTCAGCTGTAAGAAAGACAGAAAGGTAAGAAGGAAGGAAAGAAGGAAGGAAGGAAGGAAGGGAGGGAGGGAGGGAGGGAGGGAGGGAAGGGAGGAGTATAATATCTTGTTTTTTCTGGAGAAAAATAAGCCCAACCATTCAGAAGGAATGCTTTCAATACGTATCATATTTGAATAATGCAGCACAGTATTTAAGAGCTACTGTAATTTTATGATATTTCATTTTTGGAACATTAAACATTCAATTTTTATACATTATCCTACATTAAGAACCTGCCATCAGTACTCATCAATACACTGTCTCGGCTCTTCACACACTACCTGTCTGAATGCAAGGTTCCGCCCCAGTGGAAAACCAGCAGAATTGTACTACTGTACAAGAAGGGAGATATCCATGACATTGGCAACTATTTCCAGATTGGCCTGTTGTCTGTTGTCTACAAGCTGTTCACTCGATTCATCCTGAACACTAGATGAAGGACAACCATGCGAGCAAGCCGGTGTCCGAAAAGATTCAGCAAAATTGACCATATCCGCATGCTAACCAAACTCACTGAGGTTTCTCGGGAGTTCAAGAGGCCACTCTGTCTAAAATTCATTCATTTAAAGAAGGCCTTTATGTTCCCAGAGTGAACAAATGCCATTGGGCTACACTAGCACGCGACAGGGACAAATGGAGACATTACTGGCGCCCGCTCGAGCAAATCGACGACTAACGGGAAGTTAAGTGATTAAGTGATAAAAAAGGCCTTTAATTCTGTTGAAACTAAAGCTGTCATTGCGGCCCTAGCCAAACAGGGTGTTCAAACTCAATACATCAGGCTCCTCCGTGAGCTGTATTGCAGATTCACTACCAGGATCTCACCATTCTACAGTGAGGTGATCAATGATGTCAAGAGAAGGATTTGGCAGGGTGATGTTATTTCACCGAAACACTTCAGTGCCACCCTTGAGAACATTATGTGACGACTGGAATGGGAAGGAATGAGAGTGAAGATAGATGGTCGGCAACTACACCACCTCCGCTTCACTGGTGACATCGTTCTAATAACACCAAACATCAGCCAAGCGGCACAAATGCTGGCCAACTTCGACCGTGAGTGTGGAAAGGTCGAACTACAGCTGAATCTCACAAAGACAATGTTTATGAGAAATGGTCTTGTTCCTGATGTTCCATTCTCTCTCAATAGAATAAACATCTCCAAATGCAACAGTTATGTGTACCTAGGTCGAGAAGTCAACCTGATGAATGACCTGGAACCTGAGTTGCACAGGAGGAAGAGAGCAGCTTGGAATGCCTTCAAAAGAGTTGAAGAAATAGCTAAGAGGACGAAGAACCTCTGGCTCCGGGCACATCTCTTCGATTCCACTGTTCTTCCGCATTAACATATGCCTCAGAGACCTGGGCCCTAAGAAAACAGGATGAGAATGCTATTCAGATTTCCCAAAGAGGAATCAAAAGAGCTATGCTTAGAGTATCACGTTTCACTCGAATGAGAGAAAGAATCTGGAGTTCAGGCCTCCATCAATGGTCAAGAATCAGGGATGCTGTCTCACTTAGCAGGGTGTCAAAAATCAGATGGGCTGGACACGTAATGAGATTTGGAGACGACCACTGGACTGGAGCCATTACCGACTGGATTCCACGGAACGTCAAAAGATCACATGGCCACCCATCTATGAGATCGTCAGACTTCGTCAAGACCCTGAACGATCAGTTTGAGGCTCTTCATGTTCCTAGAATGAGCAGATGCCACTGGGCTACACTACCACATGACAGGGATGAACGGAGACCTTATTGGTGCCCGCTCGAGCAAATTGATGAGTAATGGGATGTCAAGTGATCAAGTGATCCTACATTATATTTTTTTTTATTTTTTACCTACATTATATTTTTAAATTCCACAAATTTTATTTATATCTTTCCCCCTACAAAAAAGTAATGCCTCTAGACTTTGTGGTGAAATGTTCATGGCACTATTTTAATACCGAATTATTTTCAGGACGAAGCAATATAACAAATATACAGAATTCATAATTCCAAAAGAAAACAAAATCCACAGCAAATGTCTTATTCAGGTAAAATAGTCTTATATTTTATAAATAGAGCCATTATATTCATTTTATTTTTTATTGTTTGTGTGAAGCAAGATAGTTTTGCAAGATAGTTTTTGTTGTTGTTGTTTTGCTTTGTTTCATTTTATTGACTTGTGAGCCACATCCTGTTGTGCTCAGGGCTTACTCCTGACTCTACTAAGAGACCACTCCTGATAGTATTCCAGGGATCCTATAGAGTTCAGGGAATTGAACCTGGGTTTGCTGCATGTGAAGCAAGAACCTTGCACACTGTACTATCTCTTCTGGCCTTGCAAGATAGGTTTTTATTGAATCTTATTTACTTACATAAAGGAACAGAAGAGAGGAATACATGTTCAGGAGAATATGGTTTTCTCTACAGTGCAAAAAACAGAAAAAAAATGTTTTTCTCCTTTTCAAGAGAAAACACAGGCTTGAAATAGCAACCAAGTGACATAAATGGTTAAGAGAGAACACGGGCTCAAAAGATCAAGCAAGCAAACAAGGAATTAAAGAGACATAAAGAGATACACTTTTAAGGGAAGTAGGGTTTGAAAAGGCAAGTCATTTGATTTAGCAACTATAGGAAACTACTTTCTGTGTATAGATTTTCAGAACTTAACTACATCAAGTATTCCTATTAACTCTTTGTTTCCAAAAGTACTTAATTGTTTTCTATTTGGGGGGTTGTATACTTACACTGGAATTGTATTTTCAAGGAAGGAATGTAACATCAAATTTCGATATGCCAAATTTTTATAATTTGACTAAAAGCAGATTTTATCAGAAATTAAAGAAAATGTGAAATTTCACATTTTCATGTTCTTCATACTTTAAAACTGAATAGAAAGTCCTTGGAAAATAACAACAGTAAAACATATTAGAGCAATAAACTTTGAGATCAAATAGAGTTATATTATTTGTAATAAAATTATAATTAAAACAGTTTAATAATTCGTCTGAGCTGGAGTGATAGCACAGCAGGTTGGGCGTTTGCCTTGCACGCAGCTGACCTGGGTTCGATTCCTCTGTCCCTCTCAGAAAGCTGAGCAAGCTACCGAGAGTATCCCGCCCTCATGGCAGAGCCTGGCAATCTCCCTATGGTGTATTCAATATGCCAAAAACAGTAACAACAAGTCTCACAATGAAGACGTTACTGGTGCCCACTCGAGCAAATTAATGGACAACAGGAAGACAGTGCTACAGTACTAATAATTGGCCTAAAATCACACAACTCTATCTTATTCATACCAGAGTCAGTATCAAGTTAACTAGTTTTTTGGGGAGAGAGGGCATCGGGACTTCTCTGGGATGTTCCTGGTGGTGCTCAGGTATAATACAGTGCTGTGGATGGAACCCGGACAAGTTAATCAGTTTAGTTTAACTCTTTCAATGGGTACCAAGTACAATTACTGTTTTAAAATTATAATTGCCTTTCCAAGGCCCCTCTGTCACTGGTCAATAGAACATATACAGCGTCATGGTCTCTATCTACTACTTTCTGAGGTGCCTCTCAAAATTCCAAATGTCCGTGATTTCACTCAACTTTATACAAGGGAGACATTGAGTCTAGGCACAAATTGCAAAGTCTAGGAAAATATTAGACAGAAGAATTTTAGCATAACCTAAATATCATCCTTCTGGAATGGGACCAATTAAAAAATA